TGTTGTTGTTGTTGTTGTTGTTGTTGTTGTTGTTGTTGTTGTTGTTGTTGTTGTTGTTGTTGTTGTTGTTGTTGTTGTTGTTGTTGTTGTTGTTGTTGTTGTTGTTGTTGTTGTTGTTGTTGTTGTTGTTGTTGTTGTTGTTGTTGTTGTTGTTGTTGTTGTTGTTGTTGTTGTTGTTGTTGTTGTTCTTGTTCTTGTTCTTGTTGTTTTGTGGCTATCTTGCTACGCTGTTGCTACGTGTTTGTTACTCTGGTGCCGCGTCGTTGTTACGTGGTCGTTAAGTTGTTGCTACGAACGTGGCTGCGTTGTTGTTGCGTTGTTTTTGCACTGTTGCTACGTTGTTGGTACATGGTTGTTTCGTTTTTGCTACGTCGTTGTTTCGCTGTGGCTGCGTTGTTACGCTCGTGTTTCGTGGTGCTCGCGTTGTTGTTGCGTCGTTGTTACGTTGCTACGTTGTTTCGCTGTTGTTACGCTATTCTCATGTGGTTTTTTACGTTGTTGTTTCGTAGTTGTTATCTTGTTGCTACCTTGTTATTATGCTGTTGTTATGTGTTTTTACGTTGTCGCTGCATCGTTGATATGTTGTTGACACCTTGTTGCTACCTTGTTGCTACCTTGTTGCTACCTTGTTGCTACGACGTGTAGTTTCCTTACGTAGACACACTCCGAACAAATCCACGAGGCACCATAAATTTGGTTCCGTTTCAAGGAATTTCAAGGCTAGAGTTGCTGGGGTCCTCAGCCACCACATGGAGGGGTTGTGATGACTTTGGGAACAGGTCAAATAGTGGGGCCGGAAGAAGCAAATTTGATCCACGGCATCTTCCAAACACAGAGTAGGCGAGGCGTTTTCAACTCGTTCAATCTTAATTGAACGCAACAAGTCTCTGCAATGTTCAAAGCTTTGTGTTTGGCAAGGGTTAGACATCCAATCCAGGCAGGGTATGCGCGGTTGCCGACATGAACAAGTTTGAGGTGATTAGGCTGATCGGGTAGGTTGATTCCGTGGGTTATATACCGCAGAAAGTGAGTGCCGTCCTTTAAAAGGAGTAAATTCGGTCGAGCAGACATGTTCATTCACATGAGCCAAACTTCGTCCAGCATATTTTCACCACATGGAAAGACGCTTCCAATATCCTTGGGCATGTGGGCATTAGCCAAGGTCCTGCTTACATACTGCAAGCCAACATATCCCGAGCATTGTCGGTCGAACTTACGGCTTGACAGTCGGACGGCAAGTGGCTGTAGATAGGTGTGGGGAGCCATGTACAAGACTTGACTCAGTTGAAGCTGAGGGCGCATTGAATGGGTTTTAAGACACAGGTTCCGCTGGTTTCATACCCATTAGTGAGAACAGTTTGGGGCCATGCATCTGGCACTTTCAACTTTTGTGGCACATTGCTCCATTTTGATGGCGTCAATGTGAGCAATACAGTGCCCTTGCTGGGTAATCGACAGCATCCGTTAGGGTATCACCCCTAGAACTGCTTCAAAAAGAATCCCTCTAAGTTTCCAAGAAAGCCGGATTCCCCAAGGCATTTTCCCACTTCTGGGTTGGTCTTTAACCCAGTGCAAAGGACTAACAGGTTAGAGGGCACACCCGATGGGCTACCAAGTATCACTTGCCCGGGTAATTTCAAGGTACATGGGTTGGGATTAATAGTAGTAGGGGGTGTCCCCTTTTAGGGGGGTTCAGACCACTGTTGGATAGAACCTTTATGAACAGGATGCGTTCTGCTTAGATCCGGGGGTCAACATGAAAGTGATCAAGTACTCGCGGGAATGCCCCATCTCGGTTTCACAGCACATATTTTCCAGACAATCATGGGAGCAAGACAACTCTCGGGTGGATCCAACTTGGAGACAAAATTCTCACCCGACGGGTCCGCGAATTCCCAGAGTGCAAGGCAATTCTTCAAGAGAAGTTGCGACTGGAGAGAGAGGAGGCGGAGGAGGCTCGGGCAAAGATCACTTCCCCTTAACCTCCGCTCACTTCTGTTTTCTCACCCCAAGTTGGCCCAGTTGAAGGACATCCAAAAGGTTCTGGTCCCTTCAAAAGTGGAATTGCGGGAGGGGGGGATTTCTAAATGTGCTCCCCTCGAATAGTTGAATTCTTTTGATTTCGCTTGAGCTGCCAACCAAAAGGCCGTGCACCACTTTGAGAAACCTTACCGCAATGGGCAGGACAGCTTATGTGTCAAAGGTGATTTTCTGAGATACACCTCCACAACTTTCAACAGTTGAGGGTCAATGGGACCCCCTGCACGGAAACCGGGGATATGTTTCCAACAAATCAAGCCCAGCCCTGCATTTTGCGAGCTCAACCCTTCGGCTGAGAATTTTCCGCATCTACCTGGCTTGAGCCCCACTTTGGGCGGAACGGCAGGCCGAGGGCCCCCTTCTAAAGTCCACGCGAATCCATCGGCTCAGCGGAAGCCTGGCGGTTGTTGGCTCCGCTCGCAGACGTCGAATGGAGTTTAGCTTTTTGGAAGGTCTGCGAGGGTCTTTCTTCCGCAGGGCTTCTTTTGCGGGCCCTTCGGCGGCCCAAGGGGCTGGGAAGCCCCACGTTTGTGATATCTGGCTCCCTTGAAGTCATCATGTGTCGTGCAGGGGGCTGATTCAAGTGGGTTGCTTTGTGATAATTACTGTGGGCCTGCCCAGTGGTATCCTGTGTGTTGATCTCATTTCTGGAGCAAACCAGCTACCAACAGCAGTTTCTGTAAAAGCAACCCGTGTGTTCCCAGACTTCCCACCGCCAGCTTCCTACGGCTATGAACATTGATTCAGGTACCCTGTTGGTGCACACAACCCCACTATGTAAATGATGTTCCCGTGTTTCCTAAATCACTTCATGGGTCATTTCTGCCCTTGGCATCTCGCTTTGAGGGCAGGTTTCGGGATGTATCCACCTGACCGCTGCATAGTTTCAGGTGGAGAAGGCCCGCGCCGCAGCCGCCAAGGAGGAGGAGGAGGTGGCGGGTGGTTGAGCGGTTTAAGCGCGGTGAGTGGAGTAGCCATCCATGGCTTCCCTGCAATCCATGGCTTCCCTGCAACTTACTCCACTCCGCCACCGTTCCCAATGCAGATTGACATCCATCAGTTTCATTTGTGCATGAACATGGGCCGCATGGCTGGACATGGTGATGGTTTTGGCAGACCTCGCACGTTTTCCCGGCTGCTTTCCCAGCTAGTCTGCTTGTGGCTCATTGAGAATGAAGCAGCTCTTAGGGCATTGATCAGGGGGCAAAGCAACGTGGTGGACCTTCGCGACAAATGCGGCTTGCGTGCCCCTGCAGTGTCACATGTACTTCGAATGGGTTGACACCAGGTCTAACTGAACAGACTTTATTAGCAAAGAAGGCTTTTCTGATCTGTGGTCTTTTCATGTTTTGCAGGTCTCCATCAATGAGGTTGTTTGGAATCTTCCTTCGAGGCAGTAAGTATTCGGGTTTTGCAGCGTCTCTGAAGTGCATTGGGTAGCGGATTGCTGCTATCTGGTTCATCCTGTTGGGGACGCTGCACGCCCCTGGGAGTTCACAAAGCAAGAGCAGAGAGCCCCTTTTAAGCAGGAAAAAGCGGGGGCTGGTGCTTGCAGATTCAAGTGCTGGATGAAGATGTTCCATGCTTGTGCTTGGCACGTGTTCATTTACCCCTCACACAAGGTAGCAATCGGATGGGTGCCCATTGTGGCTGTGCCGAAATGTCTCACTCTCACAACTGGAAGTTGCGGGGCGCAAGTAAGCTATCGTCTGTAGTGGCTGTGAGCACTAAGCTCACCAGATAGGCTGCTATTTGGTTCCTCCCCGGCTGCAAGGTCCAGGGAGTCAACAAAGCAAGAGCAGAGAGAACCTTGTAAGCCCACAGTTTTGTCAGGGCCGTTGGGATTTACTTCGGTTCCCACCCAAGAGCTGGGTATGCGTGAAAATAGGCCGTAAACTTGTTTTTTTTTTTTCCTTTTTCTTCTTCTTTTTCTCCTGTCCCTTGAAACCAACGTGCAGTTGGCGCCCTCAACAAAACCATGCGCCCCCCTGGCTCCCGAAGAGCGACATCGGAGAGATGGAATGCAGGTGGCCCGGCTGGGTTCAGACGACGAGGAGCTTTGGGCGGGGGGTGGGGGGTGGAGAGTTCTGCTGCCGATTTCCCACTGGGCCAAAAAGACTAGACCTTTGAATCTTTTGGGTTCCCACATATTTCCCCAGATAACTGAAAGCTATAGGGGTTCTAACTTCTAAGAGAGAGGAGAGAATGTGTTTTGCGAGATTGACGGATGGGTGCTAGGGGGCATGCAGTTTGCGGTGCCGGTGCATGTGCTGTTTTGGGTGCTGGTGACATTTTGGGTGCTGGTGACAGTGCGGGCGCTTGTTTGCTAGATTGCCAGCAGGGTGCTGCGGGGCATGCAGTTTGGGGTGCTGGTGCAGTCGCTGTTTTGGGTGGCTCGCTTGTGGCGCATTTTTGCGAGATTGATGGCCGGGTGCTAGGGGCCATGCAGTTTGGCTTGGGTTGCCGATGCGGGTGCTTCTTTGGGGTGCTGTTTGGGGTGGTGACGCTGCGGGGGCATTGTTGCAGGATTGACAGCCAGGTGCTCGGGGGGTTCTTGGGGTGCTGTTCGCGGTGTGGTTGGATGCTGGTGACGGCACAGGAGCGTTTGTGAGATTGACGGACGGCAGGGCTATGGCACGCAGTGTGGGGTTGCGGGCGCCGTTTTCGCTATTTGGGGTCTATGCTGGTGTATTTTTGTCATTTGTGTGGAATACTTTTTAGGTTTCTCCCTTTTTGGCTGACTCTTTTTGGGTCATGGCCCCCGAAAGGTTGGCCTTCTTTGCCAGGTCCTTCTAGCAAGCGAGACTTACTTACCTTGGGTCGTCTCATTCCGGCGAGCCGACTTTTCCATCTCCAATCATGTCAGGACTTTTGAGTTCGATGAAGAATCACCACCATAAAGATTCCTGAAAAAGATTACTTGGGTTACCCCCTGTGTTTGAGCAAGACACACCAGTTTGCAGCCCCACTCTAGGGCGCCTCGGGACAAGATCCCTGGGTGCTACAGCCAGGTGGCTGTTTTTTTTCTTTTTTCTTCGATGCCATTGCAAAGCAAAATTGCCGACAGAATTGCTTATTCCGGGCAAGGTGCAACCGCCACCTGCTGGAGAAGAAACGACACCACAAAGGATCTACTTTTTCATGAGGCGCAGGCGTTCTCGCATGGACCAGGTATTATTCCAGGACTCTTGACCGGACTCTTCCCGGCATGGTTGAATTCAAAGCCGTGGCCAGTTGTGACATTTTGATTCCTGATTAACAACACCCCTGGGTCTCCATTTCAGCCGGCTCCTCCGAAATAATTTTGTTTCGTGTGGATTTGTCATGTTTTTTCGTGGGCGAGCAGTGCATGTGGGTCGTTTCGGAGGACTGCGAGGAGAGGGGACTGGTATCATCATTCCCACACAGCAGGGAGTTTTGTCTGTTCCCTTTTGGGTGGTTTACATTTAATGTGAGTTTCCCTTGGTTGCTGATGTTTAGAGGGGGGACATCTAAGGGAGCCCTGAAAAAGGGTCCAACCTCAGGTAGCGACACAAGGCTTGGTCAGGCTGATAGCTTGGTCATCAACAAGAAACAAAGCAAACCGGTTGAACAAAACAGCTACTAACCAAAGGAAGGCGCTGTCAGCCGGATTTCAGTCAGAGAGAGGTGAGGTGAAGCGAACCTCTTTCAGCCCTGACAGAAACGGTGGACCCAACCTGTTTTGACACACGGCCATGGGTTAAAATCCCGTACCCCCAGTGAACATCCCAATCCCCACTAAAATAGACTAAAATGGGTGGTGCACCTACCCCAAAATGGTACCATTGGTTTTGACCCAGGGCCACATCCCTTCAATGTGTCCGTGAGGATCTCTTGGACTCCCCCGTGAGCGAGGCTGAGAAGCGGTCGGACTGATTCGGAGCATCGGAAATCGGGGGGGCCTATATAGGGCACTTTTGTGCGCGTGGCATTGGACTGGCTGATTGGGGGTCAACCTTTCGCCTGTTAGGGGAGAAGGTTTCTGGCATTAAAAACAAGCCGCAGGTTTACAGAGGCAAGGAACAGAAGGTTTTGGTCACCAAAGAATCAGCTCCATCCGTTCCAAAAAGATGATCAAACATCGTTTTGGTAGGTACTTGGGTGAACCGTTTCTCTTGGTTTCCTTTTTTCAGTGGCCAATTTCCAGCTGTGCGGGGGTCGGAGCCGCCGGGAGAAGCTTCTGACCTGTCCAGGGCTGAAAGGTTTCTGATCCATCATTTTATGGATACAGGTATTGGCTATTGGCGAGTGGTTTAAGCCTTTCAGCTTGTTTGGTCCTGTGATCACGTTCACTGCAAAGAACCAGCAGTCGCTTCCATGAACGGGATCTCTCGGATGTGTGATGGCATTGCCACATTTTGCAGATTTGGGAAGAACGAGGGAGATTCATGAGTTCTAGGCGTGCTGCATGGGTCGAGGCCGTTTAAAACGGGACTCTCGCTGATCTCAAGTCCCACGTGCCACTTGAGAAGGAATTGCCCGCCCGTTGGATGCCCAACTGCCCAGGTTTCGCAGCTATGAGGCCAAACTTTTCGAACCTGTGTGGCCTTTTTGATCCCTTATTTGATTTTTCGGCGGGTGAGTCTGAGGGTACCAGTTAGTTTATCCACTTGCGAGGGTTTCCATCACGGCGAGAAAGACATCACTGACATCACTGCTTCACCTTCCGCCGGTCGGGATCGGACAACGCGACGGAAGAGATGAAATTAGGTGGACCTGGGTCCTAACAAAAAACAACTGGGTTGGTATGTGCTTTGCTTTCAGCTTCGGTTCTTAAATCGTTTGTTGGGTTCTTGGCATGGTTCTTGGGTGGGTGCGTCTCCATGACTTTTTAGACTTTTTAGCTGGTTGATGATTGTTGGTTCCTGTACACTCTTTGAAAAGAGCCGGCATGCTGGGTTCCTATGCGCGCCCAGCTCGTTCGCCAGGTGCGAACGGTCGTCTCCACCAGATCTGCCGGTGCCCCAGAGGAGTCTCCGTTCTTTTTCTTCTCCCCGTACACTCGTCGGGTGAGCGTATATGGTCAAGACAACCCTTCACTGGGGATTCGGGGTGGGCAGGTTACCCTCAGTTGGCGGTTTGGACTGGTGGGATTCAAACCGCTGTTTCTTGTGGAGGGTAAATGGAAACCCGCACCCCCTTTGCTGGTTTTACACAACATCGAATTGGAGTGAGTCTCCGCTTGGGGTGATGTTTTTGAGGGGGAATAAAGGGGGAAAAGAAGCTTGGAAAGAGCGGAGTCAACCACGGATTGGCCAACAGATCCGCTCAGATTTCCTTTCTTCAAGCAGGGTTCCTTCAAGAAACGGTCTCCTGCAACCAACCCGCGAGACCTCGACACCCCTCCGGCGGCAACGTTCCGACGAGGTCTCCGCCGCCGGGGCGGCGGCGCTGGCGGCCAGGCGCTTCCGCGCACCGGTGCTGTCGCCCAAGGCCAAGGCCGGCGGGCCGGGCTGAGTTTGTTGCCGTGGCACACGGTTTTTTTTCTGGGCTAAAGCGTTAACCGCAGGTGGTCGCTTGTCTTGACTCTTTATAAGTGTCCACTTGGGCCACCATTTTGGCTCAAGTGGACACTGACCTTCTGTCTTGTAATCTGAAATCTTTCTTTCCCCTCCGATCAGAGCCATGTACGCCCCCGCCTACGCTGGTGCCGCGGTTGCAGAGGCCAAGGCGAAGGCAAAGGCCTCCATGGCGAAGTACCTGGCAAGCCTCGTGAAGAAGGAGGAAGAAGGATGGACCGTCTTGGCTGCTGAGGTCCCTCAGGCACCTGACGAGAGGTTCTTCTCCAGCGCCGATGAGCTGGAGCAGGCCCCACTCATTCCAGCCAAGCGCAAGGCAGAGGACGAGCTGATGGCAGACTCAGCCCCTGGGGTGGCGCAGGTGCCGAAGGCCCTGACACGCCCCCCAGGGGCATTCCTGGAGCTCCTAAACCCGCCGGAGCCGGATGTTCCCATGGAGGAACTCCTGGCGGAAGACGAGGAGGAGCCCCCGATGGAGGAACTCCTGGCGGAAGACGAGGAGGAGCCCCCGATGTCCGACACCAAGTGGCAGAGACGCCATGACCTGATGGCAAAGGTCAGGGAGCAGGCGTCCTCGGAGGAGGATGAGGACCCCGCAGCCCCCCCGCCGGGTGGAAGCGTCTTCACCAAGGCCCTCAAAGTCTCTGAGGGCCTTTACCAATTCAGCGAGGACCAGATGGCGGGCGACTTCCCGTGTTTTGATGCGACCACGGCCACTAGGCTCCGCCGACTGCAGGCCAAGGACGTCCAGCGGCTCCTGAGAGGCTTTGAGGGCCCCCAACTCAAGCAGGGGGGCCTGGAGCGTGTGGTGGAGGCGTTCTACATCAAGATGAAGTATGAGCATGAGGCCCGGCTCAGCACCCCGGGACAGCAGGTCGGCAAGCGCGCTGGCCTGGGGTATGGGGGCCTGGAGAACCGCCCCCTGGGTAAGGAGCCCACATCCTGGATCTGCCCCTGCTGCACCATGCCCTGGGTGAAGAAGGGCGCCAGGAAGTGTATGGGGTGCGGCAAGAAGACGGAGCCCATTGACACGGCGACCAACTTGGCCACCCTGGAAAGCACTGGCAGCTGACAGTGGATGACCAGGGCAATGCGGTCTGGACGGCGGCCCGGTCCGCAGGTGCCGATGGCCCTGATACGGACCGGGCCCGCGACCTCAAGCTCAGCGCCTCGGTGGATGTCAGCGAGCTGGCCACCGACCCGATGGCATGCGAAAACCTGGACCAGGCCAGCTTCTCGGACTTTGTCCCCTCCTCGGTCCGGGCGGTGATCAGGAACTGCCCCATGGAGCTGGACGAGGATTTCCTGACGGCCCCAATGGGGGAAAGGCCTCCGTTGCCGGGCGACAAGGAAGAGGGCCAGGAATGCAGGGCCTTCCACCCGTCGGCAGTGAAGGCTTTCAAAATCCAGACCCGGCTCAACGCCACCACCATCGCCCAGGAGGAGGCCAAGAAGGCAGACCAGGTGGCAGCGGTGGAGCGATCCGCGGCGGTCCTCCACGAGCTTCAAGGAGGGGCCATTGATGGAGGAGGCGATGGGGGCCAACTCCTCAAGAATTTGGACTTGGACCTCTTCCGCGAAAAACTGCTGGATAAGCTGGGCGCGGACTGGGGGAGGCCCACACCGGAGCTCCTCCAGGCCCAGACCACTGCGGAGGAGGCGAAGGCAAAGCACCAGGCCAGACAAGCGAAGGGCGCCCACGAGACCAGAATGCTCGAGCCCATCAAGCCTCCATTCAGTGCGTGGCCTAACGAGGTCCGAGTTGCCATTGAGACGGGGGTCTTTGAGCCGACCACGGCATGGAGGGATTTCAGCATGGACGACCTCACGTCCCTCACGGACTCTTACCTCGAAGCCAAGGCGGTCATCTCGCTGGGTAGGAACCCCTTTCCGGCGGCCCTCCTGGCAGATCTGCCGGATCTGGCGGGGATCCCCATTCCAAAGGCGGGGGGCTCTGGTGCGGCGCGCCCAGGTGCCGAGGGCCCTGACAGGCAGCCCCCATCCCCCCAGCCTCGGGCTCTGGCGCGACGAGCTCAGGTGCCGAGGGCCCTGACAACAAGCCCGCCACCCCGGGGGGCCTGGATACCCAGGACCCGGAGGTGCAGCTCGCGGTCCTGCGCTGGATGATGAGCAAACGGGTCGGAGAGGTCCGTATCTTTGCGGGCCGCTGGGTCCGACGACCGGGCCCCGTACACGTCCCGGACTGGGCCAACAACCTCACCAAGGTGAATCCGGAGGCGCTGGAGAAGGGTACGCATCCCAGGAACCACCAGGTGGGTGGACTCCCATGGGCCAGGTACTCCGTTGATGAGTTGAACCAGCAGGCTAAGGCGGGGGACCGACCCTACCCCGAGGACCTGCGATCCATCTTCTGGGCGGCCCCCCACGATCCGGATGAGGACTTCCACTGGGCGCGCCAGATCTCGTCCTGGACACTTCCAGGCTTACTGGGGATGTTTGGTCACAGCTTCACCCTGCGCCAGGTCTGGGGAGTCTGGGAGTCCCTGCCACTGCTTCAGGGCCCTAGGCAGCGGGGCCCGAAGAACAAGGCCCAGAATCAGATCCGCCTGGAGGGCTGGGAGACCCTGAAGGAAGACGCGCGGTGCTTCCTGAAGGAGGAGGGCCTTCCGTTTCCGCAGACAGGACCGGAGTGGCGATTGGTCTACCGGGCCATGGGCAAGGTCCTCGCGGCCCGGGCCTTCCTCACGGACACCCCGGCGGAGGTGATGCAGCTCCCGGTCCAGGACGTGGCGGACTCCAAGGAACAGATGATCCTCCGGGCGGTATGTGATGAGCGCATATCTGTCCCGGTGGAGAGTCTCCAGCAGTTCCCAGAGGTGTACAAGGCCCTCATGGACCGCATTGGAGGCCCGGGGGCCCTGGCGGAGGTGAAGGTCAACTGGCGCTGCAACACGAAGCAGTGGTGGGTCGGCGCAGTCCCCGACTCAGTGGCCCCCTCCATCTACCGCAAGCTCGGCTACACCAACGACATGATCAAGCTGATGGGCCTTGACCCCTCCGCCCCTGGGTGCCGGACAGGTGCCGATGGCCCTGACATCCGCCCCAGGGGAGGAGAGGGCGATGAGGGGATCGTTTACCCCCCCATCACATCGGACAACGTCCACGGCGTGGTGGGCAAGGACTACCGGAAGAAGAACTTTCCGGCGGAGACGAAGCATGTCTTCTGGGCGCACATGGAGTGTGGCCTGGTTCTGAGCTCCGTCACCCCTTGGGAACTCATCCCAAAGACAAAAGGGGAGACCCGGGGGGGCTACATGTGCAAGTACTGCAAGGGGTACTGGCGCGCCGGGGGAGGGGGCACCCGCCTCCTCCAGATCCGGGCCGGCAAGGCCATCCTTCAGCTGGTGCTGGACGAGCCGCCTGATGGCCTGTACAACCGCTGGGTCAAGGAGCGGTTGGAGTTCTACCGCCGGGTAGAGCCTTCTGCCCCGCTGCGGGATGTCTCCGTGGTGGACCAGAAAGTCCCCCGGTTTAGGTTCAGCCACATCACCCAGACCGGCCATGTTTCAAACGCCATCTGGGAGCTGATTCTCCGGAATCCGGAGGCGGCGGCGCTCAAGCGCATTGACGACATTGCAAAGGGGGCCGTATGATCATGCAGCAATGCGGCCATCCGGAACGGATTCGCAGCTCACCCCGGGGGGGACAGCTGCCGAGGGCGCTGATATCCCCCCCTGGGCACAGCACAGGCCTAGACCTGTACCAGGCGAGGAAAATTGGCGCGCTTGGGCTGGTCCGGGGTGCGCCTTGGCTCCCCTCCCTTGTTTGGTTTTTCCCTTTCCGGGGAGGCTCCCTGGGTCCCCCCCCCCTTTTCCTTCCCCGTTTCCCCCGTTTCGGGGTTGGCTTTCCGGGGGTTTTGGGGACTCCCCTGTTGTTTGGTTGGGGTTTGCGCCTAGGGAGTTGGCTCCTGGCTCGAGTGGATCATGATGATGTGGAGGCCCCGCCTCCCTTCCCCGTTTGGAACGACCTTCCTTGGGGTACCAACCGCGTTCCAGTTGATTTTGCATGACCTTGGATTTGCACCAGTGCAGTCGGACGGGGAAATCCTCGTGGCGTGCTGCCTGGAATGGGTCAAAAAGGACCAGGCTGCCAACCCGGATGCGGTGGTCTTCGACCCGCGACCGTGGACACGAATCGTGGGGATGGCACCTGACGGCAACCATGTCCTGGTGGCCTCGGACACCTACAACTTGATCCTTGCAAGGATACTCGGCTCCCAACCACAACCGCTGGAGGAGGCGGATTTGGAGCTCGCTACTAAGACCCTGCAACAACTTCTGTTTCGTGCGGCAGGCGCCAGACAATCGCACACCTATTCTCCACTGGAAATGGAACAGGCCATCCGGGACCGCGAGGAGTGGATCCTCTCCGGATCGATTGAGGCCCCGGATGTCCTGGCAGTGGCCAACAAGTGGCGGCATTGGAAACCAGGGAAGATCAAAACCGAATTGCCGACATCCCAACGAGCGTTGGCCCCTACATGCACCAGGTGATGGGGGCCAGGGAGCTGGAGGAGTTCGGCCACCTCTTTGGAGATGCCCGGTTCCGGACCATCCGAGCACATTGCTTGGCCTATGAGGGCATGCGCAAGATCGGCTTCCAGAACCTCCCCTGGACGGCCGGTGACGTCCGGCACCTCATGAACCAGGCGGTCACGCTGGAGGTCACCCCGGCGAAGCTCCAGAAGTGGTGGGGCACCTTAAAGTGGCTCTCCATTAAACTCGGCATGCTCAACGTTGACGAACACAAACAGCTCCTGGCGAAGCGGAAAGCCATCCAAGAGACGCTGGTGGACACCCAGGTCAAGCCACAGCGCAAAGCGGTGGTTCCGACCCGGGCGATTGTTTGGGCCCTGGAACAAGGGGCAGAAGGGGCCCCCTCGGAGAACCGGGTCCCTGA